CAGCAAATTAGGATTCTCAGGGTGCTCGAACAGATGAGGGTCTTGTTGATCCTCTCCTGGGAGGTCCCTCAAAATGTGTGGGGAGTTCGACAGCCACTTGCGCAACTCATAGCCTCCAGACTTCAGGATGGCAATTAATTCGTCTCGCAAGACCAGAGCCTCCTCGACGGTGGAAGCGCCCGTACAAATGTCGTCCATGTAGACCGAAGTCTCTAAGATAGAAGCTCCCCGAGCGTATCTCAGGCGCTCTCTCTCAGCGAGTTCAAGGAGGGTTCGCATGGCGATATACGGGCTGGACCGGAGTCCATAAGTGGTGGTGTTCAACTCAAATACCTGTATGGGATCGCTGGGCTTCTCGCGCCACAATATCAGCTGATATCGGCGGTCATCACGATGTACCACCGATTGGCGAAACATCATCCGAATGTCCGCGACAAAAACCACTTGGTGTCGACGGAATTGGGTCAGGATGTCGGATATGTCCTTGATCAGTTTAGGACCCGAGTGAAGACACTGATTCAGGGACACACCGTTTGATGTGGGGGCGGAACCGTCAAAGACTACCCGAATCTTACTCTCAGGGGTCCTCAAGACCGCATGGTGAGGGAGGAAGTAGTGCTCATGTGAACGCCATTCGAAGTTGGACGGTGACATGTGACCCAGCTCCTGATACTCGCGCATGAACTTGACATATTTGTCGCGAAAGGCTGGGTCACGCCGCATGCGGCGCTCCATGGAAAGCAACCTCTTCTCGGCCAGAGCACGGGATTGACCCAAAGAGGGGCGGGAGTCCAGAAAGGGTAAGCGAGTGACGAAACGACCGTCAACCCGCCGGCCGGTATTGTTCTGGTAGAACAACTCACACTCACGGTCCAGAGGGTCGACTCGAGCTGCATGGGGTGGTTCCTCAATGTCCCAGAATCGCTGGACAGCGTCCGATAGGGACACGCCCACGACGGAGAGAGGGTCGGCCATCGGAGAGGGAGGAGACCACATAACCGGTCCAAAAAAGCTGTGCCCAAATATCGTGGAAATGGCTGACAGGCCATTGGGCTGCAGAGCTCGTATCTCACCTAACAAGAGGGCACCCAGCGTGTCGGCCCCCAGTAACAAATCTATCGGCCCCGGTTGGGCCCACCGAGGGTCTGCCGGTCTCAAAGCCGACGCACAGCGCACAGCGCTGTCATTTATACGAACGTTAGGGAGGAACCCTACAATGTCGTCGAGGACATTTACCTTGACTAAAATACGAAGGTGTTCGCTGTCAGGGCTGAACACCAACTCCGATTGTCCCCTAGGAGCAGGAGGCTCGGCACCTCCGATACCTACCATCGGACGTGATTCAGAGCTCCAGGGGAGCCCCAGTCTTCCCACCAACCGAGTAGAGGCCACACTACGCTGGGAACCCGAGTTCAATAGAGCTCGAACCGTTAAGTGGTCGCCGCTCGGGTTGTAAACCTTCACTGAGGCTGTCGGCAATAGAACAGTTTGACAGGTGGACTGCTGACGACTTATAGGCTCAGTGGAGGCGGCCATGGCGGGAGCTAGGGCGGCAGCCTCCTATCTGGAGCTGCCTCTGTTAGGCCGGCACCCGAACCGGGGGGCCCGAGCGCGGCACTCCGACGGCGTCTCGATGACCCCCGACTGGAATTCCCCGAACGGGCCGACCGAGGGAAACTCGGGGATCCTCGGCTCCAAGGCTCGGGGCCGGTACGCAGTCTCCGGAACCCGGTAGTACCGGCACCGGCCAAAGGGGGGCGGGCGGCGTTCCAGTCGCGGCCACTCAGCCAACGGGGGTGAGAAAGGTCTAGCTGACCGCTGAGTGGCCGCGAATCCACTATCAACTCGGGGAGGGGGGGTGAAGACCCCCCCGCCCCTGGGGGAACGACTCCCCGACCGATCGGGGGAGGGGCTCCCTTCAGAAGGAGGGGCGCTGCGGTCCGCCGGTGAGCGCCGAGCGTCGCCCGACAGTGGGCGTGGCTGGGCGCCCCCGCCCGTGGGAGTCGGGGGGCTGGCAGGGCCCTGCGAGGACGAGCCGCGCGCACCCAGGCACAAGAGGACGTTGTGGTTGCCCTGGCAGTGCGTGCAGGGCCGCTGGTGCGGGCAGTCTCGTTGTAAATGCCTCTCCAGGCACGAGAAGCACCAGCGGCGCTCCCTGGCGATGGTTCGCCTCGCCTTAGCCGGCTTGCGCAACAACTTCGGGCACGACGCCGGCCGGTGGTCGGATGCTCGACAATAGGAGCAGGGAGGCGCCTCCCGGGCCGCTAGGCCACTATAGGAGGGTACGGGGGGGCGCCCTCCCGCGGGGGCTCCACTCGGCCTCAAGGGGGTGGGCGCCGCCTTGGCCGGCTGACTCCGCCTTTCCCTGGGCACCGCTCGGGAGGAGGCCGGGGGGCTCTCGACGGCGCCTGCTGCGTTCTCCAGCAGCCTGCACTGCTCTTCCAGGAACCGCAGCAGGTCCCTAAAGGGGGGCATATAAGAGGCGCCATCCCCTCCGAACCTCTCCTCAAAATGGAGCCGAAGGTCGAGGGGCAGGCGGGACAGCACTATATGAAGGAGCAGAAAAGACCACTCGTCCACAGGTAAATCCAGCCGCCGCAACGAGTTGCACGCTACGACGACTGGATTCACTATGTCTTCACGTAGTCTAGTCCGGTCCTTCAGCAGCGGGAGGTTCAGCAGCCTCCGAACATGATCGTCCGCAATCCGCCGGACGTTGGCGTACCTTCCAGCGAGGAGGTCCCTGGCGTTTTGGTAGGCGTCGTCCGACAACTTAAGGTGGCCGACGACGCTCAGGGCCTCCCCCTCTAGTGAAGCCAGGAGGTACCCCATTTTTTGGCAGGGGGTCAGGTCCCTCCGGGCGTCCACCAGGCTGTCAAACAGGCCGACGAAGGTCATCCACTCCGAGAGGACCCCGGAGAACCTTGGCAGGTCCAGCGTCGGAAGTCGTCCTAGCAGCTCTGGCTGAGCAGACGGCTTCCGCGGGGACTCGAGAAGGCTACTCAGCCGAGCTTCGCGCTCCCTCTCCGCATCCTTGGCCCCCGCCTCGATCAGGTCGTCCGTCAGCGCGAGGAACTGCTCGTAGTCCGCGCGGCAAGATTCCAGGACTCCCTTTTCCACCTCCAAGTCCTCGAGCTCAGAGTAAGCCTCCTCCACGGCCGCCCTTCGAGCATCGACCTGCTCAAGCCTCTTCCTCAGATTGTAGACCCTGTCCGGTCGGCCTATCAACGCGTGTGCGCTGGTAGCCCAGCGCAGCTCAGTCCGCAGGCAACGGATTAGCATCTTGGGCGAGGACATCACTACTAAATTCAAATTACGACGCGGCTCGAGCACAATTACAACAATAACAAATAAAAAATACAAAAAAATTAACAGCTAACTAATGCAGTTCCTATCAAATCGAGTTGGATAGAATGTACACAAATAAGAACAGCTATTATTAAATCAAACACAAGTTAGTACAAAGGAAAAGGTAAATCAAATCAACAATAACAAATACTAGTACGATCAAATCAAGTTCATTTAAATTACGTAAATACAAATTACCACTCTTTAGTTCAAATACAATTTACAATACGAAAGATATGTAACGAAGATACACATCAACAAAAATACCTTGCTCGGAAATCAACCCTTCGATAAGTAACACACTACCATCCGACAACGACAATTAACCGATTACGTAAAAATAACCATCTACCTACATGACGCAATCTCCCGCTTGCGCGCGAACCGGGTGTGACCTTTCAATTTTACCCGCTAACAGTAAAGCAAGCTAACAAAGGAAGGAATTTTATTATTACGTATAATAATAAAAAGGTATTTTACGTATTACGGACGGGCGTGATTGTAGCCACAAATCCACCCAACGCTCCTGCCACCAAATTATTTAATTTTTATCAAATACTATGGTCGGTGGATCGACCGGGAATCGATCCCAGAACCACGCTCTGCTACCAAATGTTACGGCCAACAGCTGCCCTGCCTCAACAGGAGTTGGATCCTTCGCGGCCCATAGACGAAGGAGCCACGGGCAGATGCAGGTCGGGCGTTCCTACGCCGAGGGTCAAAGGTTTCTAATGAACACACGAGGGGAAAGGTCACTAGAATAAATGCACTTACCTGCCCCAGGAGCGCAGACGGTTCTCCTCGACCGGCCCGGCTGATGAAAGTTGTGCTTGGTGTGTGCGGTGTTGTGAGTGTAGGTGTAATTGTGTGTGCTGATATGTTGACGGGAACCGATCTGGATGACTCGACGACGTCCGGGAGAAGGCACGCGCTGGTATCCCCGGAACTTCACCCTTCTGGAGGCACTCGTAAGGGGTTGTCACCAAATGGGACGGCTACTCTGGTAGTCCTTCAGATGTAAATCACTTTGATAGTTGCGCGCGAATTTCACCGAGTTAGTACGTTCTAATAACGATACCGTTATTGCAACGATTTACGCGGATTGTTCCTTTAGCAAGTTTAGGCGCGAAAAAATACGTCCGTATAGTTCGCAAGAAAAATCCTACTACCTCGCGAGAAGAGCCACGCCGACCCGTCCGGCGGCCGAGGGGGCGGGGGAGAGGGAAGGTGCCCTTGATATCGAGGCCAAAAGCGCGCGTTAAATACTGCGTTTTTATTGCAAATTTTCCTGCCTAGACACTGGTCTTTATTATAATTATAAATATGAGTGTATATAGTGGTTGTATAACGTGACTGTCCCGGGTCCAAATTCTGGGTTGGGTCAATAAAATTATTTAATGAGTTTTTCCGTTAAGAAATTACCAGTAGCAGCCCAGAGTCAGGAAGTTGGCGCTGTCTCACCCCCGTACCTCGAAAAGCAAGTACAACCGTTGGTTCTGCGCCTGATCTCTCTCCTGTTATGTTGGTTTATCGTTCCGTATATATATATACATGTTGGTATTTCTATCCTGGTCAATCCAACTCATGACCATAGAAATATGTTATATGTATATCTAAAATGTCTCATCTTACTTGTTTTTCAGGAGCAGGATATGCAGGGGGAATTCGATAACTCCAATGAGGTTACCCTACTGGCCATGTTTGATGAACATGGACAGCAATTGGAGTGTCCAAGTCTCCCTTTAGGACCCGCACCTTCCACTGAGCCAGCACAAGTAAATCCGCCATTACCAGTGTCACCATCTTCTTCGTAAGTTAATTTTGTTATTATGTTTGTATTAAAGCTTTTTCAAAAAAATGTGTAAGTAGAAGCTACCACAGTTTTTAAACTTTGTCTATATTCAATGAAAATTCTTCACTCTTATAAATTAGAGATATGAAAAAGCCTCCGTCTTGGGAAGAACGAGTTAGAAACCCAGCGAGACTTTTCGTGAATAGAATTACTTTACAATATTTTTTATAGAATAAAATTAGTATGGTAGCAATCTCCTCATTCCCAAGGATTATCATCAATCACATACTCTTAAGTAGTATAATAACCTTTGGTAAACAAATTTTGCTTACTAAAAATTTAAACTGATTAATAAAGTCTTATATTTTTAATGTTAAAAGGTTGTTTATTAGCCAGTCAGATACTTTATTTAAGCCTTTTTGAACATTTTCATAAACTTCTTGCCACGTGTTTACATGAAAAATTACATTATATTATGTCGGTATATAAATAGGCCTAAAGCAGGAGTCGATGATGCGTCAGTTTATAGCGATATCTTTGTTTAATTGTTATGTCCTACTCACGCCCCGTCACTGCAGTTAATGTTCAACGCTTTCTTTATGCACTAAGCTCCTGGTAGCTCAATATATTTAACTAATATAGAATTACTTTGAAAAATACTATTTTTAAATTAAAATAAAATGGTACAAGAAAGACGTCCAATGTCCACCGAAGCCCGAGGGGAAGAGGTTATATTTAATAGTTTATAGGAGCCGTGGTAGCTAGGATGGTTGTTGGTTAGTTTCATAGTATTAATTCTTATTTGAATAGATAGTTTTATCATTAAGGGTATTTATGTAGCAGTAATTCATTCAAATCGGATGTTTAATTTAGAATGTATCACAGGTATAAAAATGCAATACACGAACCGTTCGACGCATATATATAAGGAATAATTAGGGTTCTGCACAAATAAAATAAAACCCATGAAATCTAATGGTCATAAATTAATACGCAGGTGAAGTCGCGGGGAACAGCTAGTATTACATAAAATATGTATGAACTAAATTATGTTATGTAATGTTCATATTTGTCTTGCAGGCGAAATGTTCGTCCAGAAGTGGTCGTTGTCGTTGAGCGGTTAGATGAGGAGACCGGCAACGAGTACTTGTTAGCGGACCAGCATGAAGTATATCACGAGGAGGTGGTGGCGAGTTCGAGTGGTGGTGCTGTGCGAGGCGTGCGGTTCCCAGCGACGGCAGCAGCAGGCGGCAACGCTCTGTAGCTTAAACTAATCTTTTTTCTCTACTTGGCTACTTTAGGAGAAGGGTAATATGTATGCATGCATGGATGTCTATTTTTTGGCACGTTCTGTAGCCTAAATTAATGTTTTTTCTTTACTTGGCTACTTCAGGAGAAGGGTAATGTTTTTCAAGTATGCATGTATGGATGTCTTTTTTTGGCATGCTCTGTAACTTGTTTGTTATTCGATTTACTTTAGTAATTACTAACTATTCGACAGTGACTATTTGTCACACTAATTGGTTTCATACGCGTGTATTTGAAATACTGTATGTTTTTAATAATAGTATTGTTACATTCATGCAAAGCATACACAGGGTTATTTTTCAAAGAGTAGCCAAATTTTAAACTTAAGTTCAAATACATAAATAATAACATACCATTATTGCAGTTTTTGAAAATACGAGTAAATAAGGCTAAAATTAACTTTTATTCGAAATTATCCCAAATTGAATGTGATTTATAGGCCACAACATTTATCTCCACTTATCGACCGTTACGAATGTTCGTACACTGTAAAATTAGTTAAAACAGTGCATTACCATGCATTTTGAATTCAAAAGGTAAACACCATAATAAGGACCATAAAGGATCGTATGTGAGATTCTTTTGAACTGCGCCCTCTTCTCCCAAAAGAGGGTCGCTTCCGATCCAACGAAGCGGCTTAATCGGCCAATCGTCAGTCCCACAGGCGGTTTTTAGTGGGTAGCACCTAGGCTCCACTTTAGGTTAGAAACAGTGAGTCCCACATAACCACGACAGACCGGCTGTCGTGGTATGCATAAAGCATTTACCGCCTCCCTACGTAAAGGGTAGCCCTTTGCAATTGCTTCTGGGCGCAAAAAAATTAAATTAATGTTTCTTCACTATTTGCCTATATTACATATTCTGAACTTTCTCTGCAAATTTGGCCAGTTATTGCAAAATAACTCTGTATGTATTGAATGTAAAAACTTGCATTTGTTTGAAAATAGCCTAACCGACATTTCCATCTGTCTTATAATTTTTAGTATTTAATTTTTTTGAATAAATAGAATACAATATTTTTTATTCAATACGGATAACACTTATTGAAAGTCATTCTGTGTTTTATCGTTGGTTATAAAAAACCTGTAATTTTTAGTTATTATTAAGAAGATGAAGATGCTGCTGCCCATTTTCTGTTTCAGTTTTCCTCCGACGCGTCTTACGGCACCCACGAGACGAGACGAAACAGTGCTAGTGGATATTCTTAACCTCTCAACAGTATTTTTCAAAATGGCATCATTCCTATAATTATAATAATCTTTATTACCATATATATTATTTAACAATATGTCTATTTATAAACTACACAGGAATATTTTATCTTATAACATGAAAAATAGCATCCATTGCCGAACTAGGCCAGAACCTGTATTTCAGGATATGGAGCCACTCCCCGGACATAATAAACATAAATTACTTATTTATATTTTGGAAAAATTACCTAACTTTATTCTTTATATTACATGTGGGTTATAAAAAATGTAAATAGAAAGAAAAAATATGTAAAATGTCGTGTGTGGGAGGGTGTGTACGAGATGAAGAATACAATTTACCTTAGGTTACCTAACAATAGATGTTCGAGATCAGTCTATAATAACTCAGCGCTGCACTGTCAAAAGATCTTCCGTTTCACCATATTCTATGTAATATGTGGGTATAATATTATAGTTTAAACAATAAAATACAATAAACATGTTTTTCTCATCTAAATTTATATATTATTATAACATTAATTCTAAAAGGGAAGTATAATAGTAAACTAAAATAATGAAAAAATAAAATAAAACAATGGTATGAATTGAATCGCCGTAATGGATGACATTGAAAGTTACTGACAATAGATATTTGACAGCGGGGATGAATGTTTTGACTGTTGAGCGTATGGAGCACAGAACACAATTACTCTCTATCAAGAGGTATGGAGTGTAGAGAGGTAAGGAGTACAAACTCTGTATAAAAAAGTGTCCGTAGGAAGGCGTTAAATACGGGTGGCGCCACTGTAGCTACAGTCTAAATTTTAAAGAACTTTTTATATTTTTTTTATTGCACAGACTCACCAAAATTCTTTTTACAATAATTATTTTATTGCTTTCAAAATTTTTATTTTCAAAATCACTCAACGTATTTTACGGCGCTTTAACATACCTCGTAGCTACTCGAGCGCTGTAGTGCTTACAGATGGACAGTTTTTTAACTATTCTCGTATGGCAGTTGGTACTCCTTACTTCTACACTTCATAGTTGAGCGGTTAATCTGTTACCGCATGTTTTGTTTTTTTATAGTATAACCTTTTTTCTTTACTTGGCTAGTTCAAAAGAAGGGTAATGTGTTTTAAGTATGCACGTATGGATGTCTTTTTCTTTGACACGCTCTGTAACCTAAATTGCTTGATGGATTTTTTAATATATGGGGCTTCGTTAGATTTGCCTTAGTTGTGGAAGTGACATAATATTTGAATTTTTTTCTTTTCAGTAAACTACTCGTTTTAACCATTGGACTTGTTTATGCAACTTGTTTAATAAATTATTTCATCTTGTTATTTGATGACTTTTTTCCATAGAAATATTTTTTAAATAATAAAATTACTCCCCTCCCTTTCCTTTTAGTTTCCTTACAATTTTTTCTTTTTCATAAGGTCGTAACAATCTACTTCTGGCCATGGGTCATGGCAATACAGAGGAGCTTATGAGCAAATGACGAGATTAAATTTAAAAACATGTTCGGACTTTTTCCTCCTACTTTTCCTAATAGAGCCTAGTAAAGTCCACTATAGATCATAGCATGGAGGTTAGAGAACAGGAGAACGATCGCTACGTGCTGAAGCATAGCCCACCTGTTCCAGAAAATTAGTAGAATTTATAGCCGCGCTGCCGTTGGTAAGTAGCGTCTGCGAAGTAATTTTTGACAAAAAGAAACATTAAAAAATGGTGAAATATTATAAATAAAAAAAAATCAATAATAATTTATATTTGTAATATTTATAATAATTATTGAGACAACTTAGCGATCGCAGGGCCTCACATATTTTGTCCATATTAGACTAGATAGTAGACACTGCTGCCCATATCCTGATTTGTTTCACTGTGTCCCCTATTAATCATAACTGACAACTAACATCACGGTGAAAAATAACGTTTATGTCAATTTCCAATGAGTAATCGACGTGACAAAGTAAGTGATTTTTCACTGTTGTTTTTATAGACCTATAACGTCGGTCATAGTTATTAAAAATAATACTTCCCCAAGTCTAGTCGCTTTTTACGACACACGGCATGATATGGATATTCGTACACTGCAATGTTTTGAGAACCGTGTAATGAAACTGTGGTTGATAATTTCACAAAACATTTCACTTATCGACAACGTATTGCTATCTTCGTTACCCTAGCGCTCACTTTAAAAAAAAAGATATTGTCTTCGGCTTGACCATAGGTCTGACTAATTGGTTTAATGAACTGTCAAAGTCTTGAGTGAATTTAGCTTTAACCACGTAATATAATGTTTATTTGAGACATTTTATTCATATCATTGGTCCTATTTAATATTGATTGGCACCATAAAAAGATATAAGGTACGTAAGGGTAATATGGTCACCTTACCTTTGCCGCCTTATAAAACCAAAACCAGGAGGAGGGGAGAGACAAATACACAATGTCGTATACAATAACTAATATAGAAAAAAAAAACAAACAAGCCTTGGCAATAATTTGCAACACTTTGAAAAATCAACTTAAAAAAGCTAACTATAGAACGTGAGAGCAATATGGTCATGCGGTTAATATGGTCACTTTCTTAGAACCCAAAAACTACAGCGTCCTTTGCATAGAACGGTCTGTGATATGATAGCTCTTGTTCAGTTTGTCAAATAATAAAGGGTCAAAAACGCGCTACTTTATCGACGCTATTTTGACAGTTCATATTATTGTAAATATTTTAGTCGATTTTCGTATTGTGTAGTGCAGTTAGTTTTTTTAAATAGATTTTTCGAAGTGTTCATAATTATGTTCAAAGCTTGTTTGCTATTTTTTTCTTAACATATTTGTTATAGTATACGATTTTGTGTTTTTGTCTCTGTTCTCCTATTAATTTTGATTTTATAGGGCGATAAATCTTAAGGTGACCATATTACCCTCACGTTCTTACTTCGTAACAATCTACTTCTGGCCATGGGTCATGGCAATACAGAGGAGCTCATGAGCAAATGACGAGATTAAATTTAAAAACATGTTCGGACTTTTTCCTCCTACTTTTCCTAATAGATATAGAAATATCAACTGTCGAAATGGTGACGATAAAGCGGCGTTCTTTTGACCCTTTATTATTTGAATGACTGATGAAGAGCTATCGTATCACAAAGCCATCTATACAAATTAGGCTGTAGTTTTTGAATTATAAGAACATATTAACCGGATGACCATATTACCCTCACGTAAATTTCATAAATACAGTTCTATAATAATGAATACAACACATGGATTAAAACTAATGTTACGGTTTTTTTACGCATCTTGGCTCCTCACCGAATGAAAGCACCGAAGCTCCGGGAAGTCTAAAGTATATAAACATCGTCCCAACCATTATATACGACAAATCCTTGCAATAGAACACCGAATCCTACCAATGATGATTCGCGAGGCTATTGAAATTAAAAATATCCAAATTTTAATAAGGAAGATCGCTGAGTGCTACTATCTGCTAAGGACTCCATAATTAATAAAATTAAATTCAAACTACTACTGCATTTTTACTATTCTATTTTAACTAGTTTTCGTCCTCATAAATTTTATACACAGTGAACGTGAGGAACACTACACTCATGAACGGGAGTAGAAAAATGTTCGCACTGTTGTGGCGGTGAAAGAAAATCCAACATCTCATATCGTCCCATTGTAAGAGGCGACATAAGTAAAAACAGGAGATGGGATGATCTGCATCATCTTCTTGACAACAGATCAAAATAATAACAGCGGCGGTTACCAACCCGCCACTATAGCAAATATCCAGCTACTTGACAATTTATGGGGGAAGCCTATGTTCATTTCAGTGGACTTATGATAGGCTGACGATAATGAGTTTTAGTCATCTTTGTAAGCCTTAATATTTACGGTAGAGTGAAAATAAAAAGTAACATACGCGAAAACACGAATGAAATAAAAACTGCATATATTGCCTCATGAAAAGTAAAAAAGCAGCTTACATACATGTTACTACTGGGCACAGGCCTTAGAGTTTTTGGCCAAAAAAGAGTTCGCTGCACTGATTCCAACGCGGGATGAATGTAATGTATATTCAGTAGCATTGTATTATTTCATTTTATCAATGACTTGCCATTTTAATTTATTTAGAAGTAAGTAGGTGGCGTTAATATGACATGAAATAATGAAAGCCAAAACTATACCATCTAGTAATATCATCAATAGAAACGAACATTTTTATCATCAAACATTATCATCGAACATCTTCAAACTCTGAAAAAATCTGAAAGAAGCGAAAGAGGTATGTAAGGATCGTGACACTTGGCGATCTGTTCTCTCTGGCTACCCATCAGGGATTGTGCTTGAAGATAAGTAAGTAAGTAATATCTTCAAACAATTTCTATTCATTGATTTGGTCAAGCTATATCATGACATGGTCAATAAATAGTGTTAAATACACATTCATTTCAGTCATTTTTTCAGTCTTTTCACGAAATGATAGATTACTTTATGATATATGATCAATTCTACGATCTGGCCACGACATACATAAAATCTCTTTACTAAAACTATGATGATAATTAAAATTTTGCAACAATTGCAGACAGACCAATTTTTATCATTTTACATATATACTGGCCTGTTGGTCTAGTGGTTAGTGACCCTGACTGCTACGCCGGAGGTCGTGGGTTCGATTCCCACCCAGGACAAATGTTTGTGTGATGAGCACGATCATTTGTTCTGTGTCTGGGTGTAATTTATCTATAATATTTATGTATTTAGAAATATATAAGTATGTTTATCAGTTGTCTAGTACCCATAACACAAGCTCTGCTTAGCTTGGGACTAGATGGCGTTGTTTGATAGTTGCGGATTATTATTATTATTATTATATTAGATATTGAAATAAATACATTATCAATTTTCACATTTTTGATAGACGTCACCATTATCTATTGAAATTATTACACTTTTAAAATAAAATAACAAAAATACTAAAGAACTGAACATTAGAATTTTTTAATAATTTTAAAAATGTAATAATTTAATCATATAAATGTAGATTATTTATATTATTTCATTTATTAGTAACTGAAGGCAAAATATACAACTTTTTCCATTTGATGATAGATGGCGCTGTTTTGAATACGAAATCGGTGTAGTTTCAAATTATTTTACCAAGATTATAACTATATTTTAAACTTTATATACAAATATGGTATTTATTTGAAAAACACCCATCATCCCGCCTATAACTAAGATACAACAGAAAATTAACATCTAAAGGAAATTAATATACTTAACCTTCCTTTTTTGAAGTTCCGTAATCGGATAAAAAGTAGCCTATAAGTTGCCCCGGGTAGTAACCCGGGGCAACTTATTAGGTAATCAGTAGATTACCTACATACAAAATTTCATGTAAATCGGTTCAGTCGTTTTTGCGTCAATCCGGAATACACAGACAGACAGACAGAAAGACACAGACAGACAGACAAAAATTCTAAAAATCACTAATTTGGATTCAGAACCCTTTATTTAGCCCCCTGGACCTGTTTCTTCAAGAATATGTTAGAATTACAGACACGACTTTTCTACGGATTTATTATATGTATAGATTAATTAGATTAAAAATAAATAAACCGAACAACAGATATTCACAAAGGTAGAAAAATGAAAAAAAAAAAGGTAAAAATGTGCAAAAAATTAAATAGCAAACCACAGAGGCATGGTTTTGTGTATAATACTCTAGAAACTAATATACTTTTATTAGTGTAGTGTCAACTAGCGACATCTGGTAAGCAAAAAATTATTAGCCCTCATTAGCTTCATGAAGTTATTAATTAGCACTCGCTATAACGCAAGAAATTTGAGTTCTACTCGACGATAGAAATAAAATTTGTAATTGTAATTTTACGTAGTGAGATTTGTAATTGTATTTTGTACCTAAATTTTCTAATTGTATACCACGAGCGTGGCGGTGAAGAAAATTATCATGACAAGGATGTGTAAAATCTGATAATTAGGTAATCCGCGTCGGACTGTTCAGTCAACAGTAAATGGTTTGTGTTGAGCAGTGGACATATCGTGTAATTACATATATTACTATAAATACGTTAGTCTAATTGTGCAGATATTTGTGTGATTTGTAATTAAAATGCAGTTTAATTACTGAGTACTTTAATTTGCAATTCAAGCATTCTATTGTAATATATTACACTATGTAAGTGGGCAAAAATATACACATATGTATTAGAAGTATGTATATATTAAGAGAAAACAACCACAGGTACCTATGTCGCGATATTTATGTATTATAAAGTGCATGAGAGCCTCACTTTTATACTGTTCCATGTTATGTGCCTCATATGAGCCTCACTCTCATGTTCGTATTATGTGATTTTATCTACAATTTGTAACTGAAATTAACATTACTTATGATTGACCGACAGCGCTGTTTTCACTCTCGTAAACCTACTTTTAATATACCCTATATTAAAGGAGGTTTATTATATAGTTATCATTAGTATTAGTAATAATGTCCTCCAGACTGAATATCAGACACGGCGACCATCCTCAATGGAGATTATCCATCTCCGCAGAACAGGATTATGGTGCACAAGTGTATGGGCAAGCGTAGTTGCACTCTCTATTCCCTTACTCTCATAATTTAATGGGACGTTAAACAGACACGACCGGAGGGAGATCGGGCGCAAGACCAACGGCTTTACGTGCTTTTCGAGGCACGGGGTGAAACACCGTCAATTTCCTGACTCCGGGTAGTTACTGAGAATTTCTTAACGGAAACACTCAATTACTAATTTTTTTGACCTGACCAGGGATTCGAACCCGCGACCTCACGAATAGCAGTCGCGTTTACAACCACTAGCTCAACGAGGCATCAATATGGGGTATTATTATATTTTACATATTTAGCCCCAGATCCTTCGAGTCGGATACGAACCTACAAACATGTGGATTGTCAATTATACACTAAGCAAAGGCTGTAACATAAATTATTACCAATTCATTTCTATATTTATATGCAAACAAACTATTAAAGTTATTTGATTTACAATTAACATTCACTGATTTGGACGAATAGGAATCAGTCAATGTTGGAAAGTTCCAATATTATTAACCAAACTGTTATTGTATACATATATACATAAACATACTTTTGCGCGCCACTATTAATGTCTTGTACATGGCGACACTAGTTAGCACTAGCGCCCTCTAGTATCGAGTAGCAGAAATAGGAGAGTCAAGATTCTTCTAGAAATTTCGGAACCGATATGTACTCGAACATTCTAGATGTCGCTACAGTAGAAGGTTCTGGAAACTATCTGAGGCCGGTATAAACCACGACCGAGCGAGTCTTGAAATGGCAATATAAGCGAATTCTTCGAAGTGAAATAACTGCGAATTACAGTGATCAGTAGTAAAATTGCGTTTTATTATTAGTGGGGTTTTAAGTTGTAATTAGTGTTTTATAATTAAAGTGTCAATTTTGGTAATTCAATCGGCAATTTTTATTGTCTCGAACCCCAAGCTCGTGACAGTATGTTATGGTCTGGACTGCATTGTTATTTTATTTAACAGCTTTAAAACATATTTAATAATTAACGAAGATTTTATGTTTATTGTTGGCCATTAGATCATTGGTACAGTCGTTCAGTTGTGCCGCCATCGCGCATTCATCTTTGTTATGGGAACTTGCTTCAATGCACCGGTCCAAATTTTTATCCAGTTTTTTCAAAAGTTTTGTGTCGCTTGCGAAAAACTTGCGTAGTAGTACTATCAAGTTATCTGCAATTCAATGTTTTATTAAATACATATGTGAAACTATACCGACATATAATATAAACATAATTAAACAATTCTTAATGGCTATATAATTCATTTGGTAATTTAAGCGTCCTGGACTCTGGACTACGTACATATATGTGGTAGAGCCATACTGCAGTTATATTATGGTTGTAGTACGAATGGGTTGGATCGATCGGGGAAGGAACACGCTCTTACAAAATACGATCGTAAAATAACAACTTAATGCTGGTGTGTTTGGTAAGGTGAGTGTGAGAACCGGAGACCGTTTTACGGAAAATAACGCATACCATCTTTGTCCTTAGGGATGACAATGCATCTGCATTTTGATTTTTATACGAGGATAGAGGTAGATGTCTGTGAACCTACGATCAGATGGACTGTGTGCTCGTTTGTCACCCTTATCCTGTAAAAAATATATCGGAGTCATAGTCAACATGTTGCTTATATATATATATATATATATATATATATATATATATATATGTGTGTGTGTGTGTGTGTGTGTAACTAACATATAACGCGTGTGTATCGCGGTTTTTTTTGCATAACTTAAGAAATCAGTCATTTTTTGTCTGAATTTTTAGAAAAATGTTTGCATATTATATAAACGTGGCAAAATAGTAGAAAGAATATTCAATGTGTTGATGTTGTTTGTATGTGCATAAGTTTCACAAAAGGTTATAAAAGTGTCCTAATACCTTATTACTATATTATATTAATAAGTACCTTTATAAATTTTCCCATTGCTTATTACACCATTTCGTTTTAAGACACACGCTATGAGACATTCCCCATGTATAGGTGACTTCTTTCTTGGTGATAATTGTTTAATGGTTTTCTTCTCTTTGGCGTGTACTTCTTTCAAGCACTCGGTCATGTTTCTTTTAAATTGCTCAGCATGAAGGGCAACGTCTTGCGGAAATGAGCTGTACGACCAATGTGGTGGCTCACGTTCTTCATTATCATTATTGTTAATATTTTTTTCTACGAAATAGACATTGATTGATTACTTAGGTTATATAGGAATTAGGTTAGGTTATTTATAGGTACGGCAAGCTTATGCAGCAATTAAGTTACTCTGGATCTGGAACGATGAATAGTAGAAATAAAGATGGAGCCAGAATGTAATAAGGCTTCTCGAGAGCGACCTAGACTTAGGTAGTTCCTATATACACTAGCAATTGAAAGTAAACTTATTACACATGAGAGCAACATCGAAAAAATCAAAGCGATTTTACGTGAAGAAAACAGTACCTAATAAATACAAATGACAAACCAAAGGCAAATTCAAACACCATCATATTATAATCTAGGTAACAGAAACTAAAAGTATTAAAAAGTAAAAAAAATAACAATTTTACCAACCCATAATTGCTCGATTTTTTTTATTAAGTTTCATATTTCTCGTAATAATCGTGTCTTTATCTATTTTGATATCGTGGTTCGAATCTAATTCTATCGCGCGATCTTTTTTTTGTACATTTACCTTGTTGGAAAATATTTCGCATACCAAATTCAATAATAGAACTATAAGCAATACTTCATGCCACATCCTCTATACAACAGAAAGGAACGTGTTCTCAATAAGCACCTCTATTCTATGAGAACGTGTAACAACGAAACGTGGCAATTTAAACCAATTAAAATGGTGTTACGAAACGATCAAAGAACAAATTGCTCGTTATTTTTTTTAGATTACGACTGACATTTAATTAATGCCAACGTATTTGAATTTTTACGTGATATTTTAATAAAATGTAAATTTATAGGTTCATTTCATAATACGTTCCTTAAAATATTTACTAAAGATTGTTGTGATCTCCTAAATTATAATTGTGAGAATATCGGTGTAAAATATCCACTACCCCTCCTAATCGTTCCGTGGGTGCCGTAAGAGGCGACGGAGGGAAACAAACCATGACTTACCACGCTTTCGAACAAAACGGTTTGCTAAAGGAGTGGAAGAAGTTGCCAGCATCTGTCCTTTCCATTCGATCACAGTGTGGGTGCCTTCAAGGCAAAAGTGAATAGGCTTTGGTTAAGTCAGTGCGCTTCACCATCTTAGGCTGCATCACCGCTTACCATCAGGTGGGATAGTAGTTAAGCGCTTGCTTAGTATAATATAAAAAAACCAGGAGATGGGCAGTCTTCCCAATAACAGCAGCAGCGTCTTCTTAATAACAACTAAAAAACAATAAAACTGCAGTTACTAAACCGCTTGCCAAGCGTGGCAACTATGGCAAATATCCCCCTAAGAGGTAATCTATGGATGAGACATATATAGCAGTGGACTTTTTATGAGCTGTAACGGTAATAGTTATAACTGTGAACATCGCAGCTATATGGGATTGATTGAATTCATACTGGAGTTTTATCAACAAGAATCGAAATATATCTCAGACTAATTCTTACATAATCTTTTATTACGATAACTTTCACGTTCTTGTTACAAAACGTGGTTCATTCATAGTTTTGGTTTTATATGAGTGTCTTGTCACAAGAGAAGTATCTAGAGTTGCTTAGACGTGGCACAGAATAAATAATAGTACTAGTGGCAGGACAGATATATCTTTGTTCCATACTTTATTTTCGTTCGTATATTTTTTTGCGGGACTTCTTTTTCGAAACAGTCTTGTCTAAGCCGCAGAGTAATTATAAACTATCATGCGCAAAAAACAGCTTCATCAGGAAGCTTGGAGAAAAATCTAAGGACCTGCGCTCGGCCACGGCATGGCACGGCGTGCCAAAGGATTTTTTTCATGGACAAAAGATTTTCGACCTTATTTTAATGAAAATAAATTTCCTTTATTTCAACACGAATAGACTGAAACGTCTCGCGAGACACTGCGGCATGCTGCTGCACGACACGTCATTCCGAGGAATACTACGGCACGTCACGGCATTCCATGGGATGCCACGGCACTCCGCTGCATCACGAGAAACGCATGTTACTTTATGTTGTTAAAGGTATATAACTGATAAGTAATTGAAACAAGATTGAACCTAGCCCGTTGCAGTGGCAATCTCAGCGACTCGCGCGAGCGCCCGGTACACGAGCGCGTCTTGACTTGTTTGACATGTCGCGGGATGCCACAGGATCCTCCGGCATGACGCGATGCCACAGGATCGTTCGGCATACCGAAGTGTGCCTTAACACGCCGTGCCGTCTGTGAGCGCAGGCCCCAACAGTATACTACAAATGATATAGCAGAAAACCAACTTCGCGCCCCTACGTCTTTCATGTTGTCAGAGTGACGTGTGTCGGCAGTAGTTGTTAATATCTAGTTTTTAACTCATATCAACGTACGGTAACGTACGTTCACTGCGTAGTGGCAGCGTAAGACACTACATACCACATATCGTCTCGTGGGTCCTTATCCCCCCTTTGAGGCAATTCTTGGGGGTGGTCTATGTTCAGCGGTGGACTTTGATAAGCTGTAACGATTGAACGTATACTCGCATAGTTTTAATAAATCGGTCATGTTATTTAGACAAATGACTATGGGCTTATTGGTCTAAAAATAAATAATTATTACTTTTATTTTATTTATTAAAAATTCTGCTTTCTGGTCAGGGATTGTCTAACATTCTTATCTGTACCCATTGAAGTAAATGTAGTACATACTAGAACAGACACCGCGAACGAAATCTGTGTGACAGTGTGAGGCCCGTGGTCGGAGGCACCGAGTACCTTTTTATGTTAAAGACGAAGTAAGCTTGAGCCTGTAGGCTCTAACGCGTGTTGCGAACAACCAAGTCTCGGCGTCTCTTCTAGTACGTAGTACATATCACTTCAATGTCTGTACCACGTCTTTTAAATTGCTAAATGACCTCCAGACCGAATGTTGATCTCAAATTTTTACCAACGACGCAGTAAAATGATGGCTACTTTAAAAATAGGATTAGTGTTAAGAGAAATTCAATAATTTTAAATTAGTTTTAAAGTTTTTGAATGGAGTGTCTAGTTAATAGAGAAATATCTATTTTTAAGCGACTTCAAAAACGAGGAGGTTCTCAATTCGAGTATATATGTTTTTTTTGTATGTATGTTACGCCATATCTTCGCCAATTTTGATGATTCTTTTTTATTTAAATACGTTATACTTCAAGGGTGGTCCCATATAAATTTGGAGAAAAAATTCCAAACATCAGGGTAGCAAATAACTAACTTCTTTTTTAGCAATTTGAAGTAGGTTTTTACTTTTTTTAGAAGTTATAATTATATTGTTAACACTTTTATGTAACTTTAATTGTAACCAAATGCTTAGGGACCTAAGAAATAAAAATAAAATTACTGAGTAAAAATTACTTTTATTAATTATTTTCCCACCGTTCTTATATTTAACATTGTTTAAAAGTTAAAACGAATACACAATGTTTATATTTGATTTACTGTCTCTGCGCAATATATAGTGTGCGTATCAAACTTGCTTTGAACCACCTTTTTATTACCTTTTACCCCCACTATTGAATCAAATTTTTCAATAGAGACCTTCAAAAATCCTTGACAAACAATAATACCCTACAGAATGTTCCGTACCATCTTAAAACACGTTTCTAGTAGGGTAGCCCCCTTTTTTATTTTTATTAATTGTTGTTATAGCCGCAACAGAACATACGTGGTAGAGCCATGCTGCAGCTATATTATGGTTTTAGCACGAATGGGTCGGCTCGACCGGGGAAGGACCACGCTCTCACAGAAAACCAGCGTAAAATAGCAGCTTAACGCTGCTGTTACGTTTGGTGAGTGTAGAGAACCGGAAACCCTTTTTACTGGAAACGAGGCATTTCATCTTAGTCTTCACGGGTGACAACGCATCTGCATTTTGATTCTTAATCGAAGATAGATGTAGATGTCTATGGGCCACAGCAATCACTTACCATCAGGTGGACTGTGTGCTCGTTTGTCCCCCTTATCCTATAAAAAAAAAACAGAAATAGACAGACAGATGGAGAGTGGAAGCTTAGTAATAGTCCTCTTGGTTACCCTTTGGGTACGGAACCCTAAAAACGTGGCTTGTTTGGAATAAATTTTGTACTTCCAAATAAAATTCCACACTCCCACATACTGATATCATTGTGTTTCCATAAAACAGAACATGAGGGTAGGTAATAATTATTGTCATTTTAAAAAAATACTTTCATTCAGAAACTTCTGGATCATTCTTAACATCTACCCCGTTTATATCTTTACATTCTTCTAAAAAGGCCAGGATGTCGCGACTTGCACACGATGCGTCAATCTCCCTCATGGCATTAAGTCTTTCAGTGACGTGCCGACCAAAAAACCAAAACTGCACATAATCGGCAGATGTCTCTGACGAAATGGGTTTCACAGCCTGAACAAGGTCATCTATAAACCTGATACATTTGCTCCCTTTCTTAATTTTCTTTAATGGCGATTTAAATCGACGACGTGGCCTGTCTGTCCTTTTGCCGCGTTGTCTAATACCGAGCTGTATATCATCAATATCAGATTCTAACTCTTCCTTTACTGTTAGATTGTTCTGTTGCTCGTTTATTTCTGACTGCAGTAATGGATACCCCTGAAAACAATAATTTTTATTTAATATAGTATGATATGTGTAGCTTAGAGCATATATAACAAAACGTGGAATTAATATTTTTGTTATATGTGATTTATTTGTATTTTGAATTGCCACAAAGAGGTCTTTGTGGCAATCTAAAAATACACATCTTTGGATAAAAATATTCAGTTAGTCAGTCAATCAGACAAAGTAACGAACAAAGCAACGAACAGACCCACAAACAGACCAAGAAACAAATTGGGCAAACTATACGCTAGTGTATCATATTGTAAATAAACAACAAATAATTAATTGCAAATTTTCTGCCAACAAGATTGCTAAGCAGTTCGAGGGCAGAAAGTTGGCAGTGTTTCACCCCTGTGCCTCTGAAAGCATGTAAAGCGGTTAGTACTGCGCTTGATTTCTCTGATTGAAGTAGTGTCCGATTACCATTAAATCGGACTATAAGAGTGAAATTTCGGATTTTAATGGAATTATGTTACATGTTCAATAAGAACTAAGACAAACCAATAATTAATTAATAAAGAAGATAAAACATCAGTTAAATGCCTTCTTTGTGCTAAATCAAAGACTAGGTGTACTAAAGTGTTCTGCCTTAAAAAGTACAGAGGCTCCAGTCTAACTACTTGCTAAGAGTTAGTACAACAGAATAATTTTAACCTTTTTAATTAAACAAAAATATAAAAAATTCTCACCTCATAATTACTTTGATCTTCCTTTCGAGAGACTTCTCGTAAGAACTGCAAAGGTTTCCATAATGGCCAGCAAGGTATGTACACTTCTGCAGGAGACCTTGCCACTTCTTTAGATTTATCTACACGGCGAAGATTATGATTGAATGTACTTCGAATGTTCACCCAGCGGTCTCTAACTGATCTTGCTGTAATATTAAAACATAATATTTGCTTACTACTAAGATTAATTTCTACCGGGTCAATCTCTTGATCAATGTCTACATAAAGTTAGCATTTGGAGGACATATTATTATGCTACCAGTCATGACTTAAATTTGATTAGCAATTCAGCTGTTGGAGGGTCTATCTTTCTCTGTATCTAAATCCGTAATGAAGTCATCTGTAGTAGAACCAGAGTCATCTATAGTGACCATAAATCAATCATGTAGTTTGAGAAACTAACAATCAAGGAAGCAAATGGTATAAGAGCGACAGAAAAAAGAGGTACTTAAGTGCAATGCTCTCCAACATTGCAATGATCTCTGTATTGGAGTTGGTTTAAGAGCGCGAGCCAAAGATATAGGATAATGGATTCTCTCATGTCCTCACATTTAAATCATGATTATTCAAAATATTTTTATCATAATTTACTTTTTAAAATCGTATTATGTAAATATCATCCCCCTAAGAAATGAACGTTGGAATAATAGATATTAAAACTTTATAAAAGCAAGATACATAGTCGCTGCAGTTGTCACTTCATTACACTATTTCACCTCAAATAACCTTGTTGAACCCTCAAAAATTCATAGTATTTGCCTTAGTTGCCATGTTTGGTGGGCAGGTTGGCAACCTCAGTTATTATTAGGAAAACGGTGCAGTCCATCTCTTGGTTTGTTTCCCTCTGTTGGTGTTGCCTCTTACGACATCCAAGAGATAGTAGTGATATATATATAGATATAGGGTAGTGGATATTTTTGCACCACCATTTAACGGTAGCCAATCCATCGGGGGGGTCTATGTTTAGCAGTGAAATTTGATATACTAGGTTTTAATTAATATACTATTAATTAATAACATTTGTTTCATAATTTCGACTAAGGAATCTAGTCATTGGTTACACGCTTTACCATCAAGTAATCTCGGCACATTACTTGATGGAGGAGTACAATTTGCCACTATGTCTGGCGTATGTGGACTATGAGAAAGCCTTTGATTCCGTCGAAATTTGGGCGGTGCTGCAGTCCCTTCAGCGATGCCAAGTTGACTGTCGGTATATTGAAGTGTTGAAGTGCTTGTACAGTAGGGCTACGATGGCTATCCGAGTACAGAACCAGAGTACGAAACCTATCCAATTGCAGAGAGGTGTAAGACAGGGTGACGTCATATCCCCGAAACTCTTTACCGCTGCATTGGAAGATGTTTTCAAGCTTCTGGACTGGAAAGGATACGGTATAAACATCAATGGCGAGTACATCACTCACCTTCGATTTGCCGACGATATAGTCCTTATGGCAGAATCGCTGGAGGACCTAAGCACTATGCTCAATGACCTCAATAGTGTTTCCCAACGGATAGGTCTTAAGATGAACATGGACAAAACAAAGATCATGTTTAATGTCCATGTCACACCTATGCCGGTAGTTGTTGGGAACACTAAGCTCGAAGTTGTTGACGAGTATGTTTACCTGGGACAAATAGTCCGACTAGGTAAGTCCAACTTCGACCGAGAGGTCAATCGACGGATTCAACTCGGCTGGGCAGCGTTCGGGAAGCTACGACACATGTTCTCGTCAGGTATACCTCAAAACTTGAAAACGAGACTGTACACGCACTGGGTCGTGTTGCCAGTGATGACATACGGAACTGAGACGTGGTCCTTCACTGCTGGCCGGATGAGGAAGCTCAAGGTCGCTCAGCGAGCTATGGAGAGGGCTATGCTCGGAGTTTCCCTGCGTGATAAACTCAGAAATGAGGATATCCGCAGTAGAACTAGAGTGACCGACATAGCCCAACGGATTAGTAAGCTGAAGTGGCAATGGGCCGGCCATATAGCTCGAAGAACCGACAACCGATGGGGAAGAAAGGTTCTCAAGTGGTAGCCTCGTACCGGCAGGCGAAGTGTAGGGCGTCCCCCCACTAGATGGAGTGACGATCTGGTAAGATATGCAGGAAGTCGATGGATGCAGGTGGCTCAGGACCGTGCTTTGTGGCATTCTTTGGGGGAGGCCTATGTTCAGCAGTGGACTTGTGAAGGGCTGTAATGATTACTTGATGGGGAAAGCTTGCGTATTGCCGTAGGAATCCTACTAGGAGCGACACTTTGTCAACCCCATGAGTGCCCCTGTGGTAGCAGCGTCGACAAGTTTGGGCTCCACGGACTTTCATGTAAGAAAAGCGCTGGTAGGTTTTCACGCCACAGTTCTTTGAACAATGTCATCCGAAGGGCTCTTGTCTCTATAAATGTTCCCTCGGTTTTAGACAGCATGACGTTGGTCCTTTGGGAGAGACGTAAAGCACTAGTGTGGGATGCTACTTGCGTAGACACTCTGGCGGCCTCCCATCTCAGGGGTACCACGTTTAGATCCGGGGCGGCATCAGAGGCAGCTGAACAGAGTAAGTGGTGCAAGAATGAGTCTCTGAGAGATGACTACATATTTGTGCCATTTGCTGTAGAGACTATCGGTCTGTGGGGTCCACGTGCCAGGAAGTTCTTAAAGGAACTCCATCCGCGGCTGGTCGTTGCTGTTGGTGATAAGAGGGCTGGTTCTTTTCTCTCTCAGAGGCTAAGTATAGCCATTCAGCGGGGAAATGCAGCGAGCGTTCTTGGCACGATACCTACCACGGGAGTAGGACTATATGATAATTAAGTTTCTAGTTTTAGTTTTTTCTAAATTATTATTATAGTTTTTAATATTGTATATAATAAAATTAATAATACAGTAAATTGTATCACTTACCAGTAAAACCGCGACCCAACTTTGCAGCAAACTCTGCGTAAGCCTTATATTTTTGCTGAATCTGATGATTAGTATTTCCGAATGGTTTCCAAATGAAGTCTCTCTGGCGCACAAATTCAACCAATTCCAATTCTAATTTTCGAGTCCAATAACATGGTTTACGCGGCATATTTTCTATGTGACTATTTTAGGCTTTGCATTTTGTTTTTAAAATAAACCTTCACGTAGATGTTATGTCCTAATAAACACCATGAAATGAGATTTTATTCAAAACTCAAAAAACCTTTGTATTTTAGCATTTTATATTTACCTACTACAACTACAAATTGTGAACCAAAATCCTCAATAAAAATTACAAACAAATTACAATCTTCATAATTTGTGACTACAATTATTATTAAAAACAAACAGAATATAAAATTAAACAAATTAAATTTATTATATAAAGGCAGAGAATCAAAGAAGTTTATGTGTATACACATACAGCCTAGTCTGACATGTGTTTTTTTCTTTTGTTATTGACTCGTAAGATTATACTTTTGCCATGTCAAGTAACAGGAAATTGTATATTTTTTTACATTCATCAGATTGCGGAGATTTCATTCACAGCTAAAGAAAGCAAACAGTCGATGACGACAATAGACGCAGAAGACAAAAAACTTTGATGTTTGTTTATACATAAGAGCTCTTGTTTCGTCGTTACCACTAATAACTCATATGCACAAACACATATTATACAGGAATGCCTCACTTTTTCGTATAACTATCCATTTCAAACCATTACTTCAACGACAAAACAACAATCCGCCTGAATTCAAGTTAATTTCGAAGTGTATTTTGATTACAATATGCTTCACATTATGCTTAGTGCCCCATTGCTAAGGTTTGGGAAATTTTGATATTTTTTTTACACGAGGAAATGTCTACCCGACTCTTCGGTACAATGATGGGTTATCAGGGCCATGGGAACGCTTTCCCACACATCCGCGGCCCCACCAGCGTCGGCTAACCGCTTTGCAGGTCCTCCTCGGAAGAGGACTTCTCCTCCCTCTTCCCCTTTTTAGGTAACGCGCACCAGGAACATAATGCAACTTGGATATTGTCAAATCAAATTTGAATTTTGTATATAAAGTAACAAACGAGATTGTATGGGGAGATGGAAAACAGGAGGAGATCGGAATATATACGAAACTATGTCATGAAAAATTAAGAGCTGTGGATTTTCCCGAAGAATTTAGTTTTCTGCCGACTTCCAAAAAGGAGCCGGTACTCAATTCGACCGTATGTTTTTTTTTTTCGTTTTTTTCTTATGTGTGTTACCTCAGAACTTTTTTCTGGGTGAACCGATTTCGATGATTCTTTTTTTATTTGAAAGCTGGTACTTCTCGTGTGGTCCCATATGAATTTGATCAAGGTCAGACCAATAGTTTTTAAGTTATTCTTAAATAACATATTGAAGTCGGCTGTACAAAATTTTTAATTTTAAATTATTGTAGTGAGTTTTTGTACTTTGTAAGTGCGTTGATCACAGATTACTTATCGATAAATTATATAGCGAAATTGTAAATGCTTTATCTGTCGCTGCCACTGAATCTAACAGTGTAAGATCGTGCGTCGGCAGGAGGTCTGTGGTGGAACAGATATGTATGCGATGACCACAAAGAGGCCAGGTCGAAGTTTTTAATGTGGGTTTGGTGGGGAAAACCAAAAAATGGTAGTATCTATGAGGACATGCATCGGTGTCGCAGTTTGTTTAAATCGCGCTTAAAGTGGTGTCAGAACCAAAGTGAAAGTGAAGTGAACTTTTGGAAACCGACCAATAATTTAAATAGTAAACTTACGTTTACTATTTAAATTATTGGTCGGTTATTTTAATATATTATATTATAAAACTATGATCATTAATACTTTTTAAATTTACATTTAAAAAGTATTAATGATCATAGTTTTATAGCAGATATGTTTAGAGATTATTCAAACGTATAGAAATAACTTTTTTTTAAAAACTTGAACAATATTTTTTAAATTTTATTTCAAAAAAATAATTGTATGCAAATTGTATGTAGTTTTATTACCTCTGCATTGTCTGGGGAGTAAGAGGATTGTCAAAGACCCCACTTTACTTAGCTTTAGCATCGGATAATGTCAGTAAGAGGTAATAAAACAACATAAAATTAAAAAACAATATTTTTTTAATAAAACTAAAAAAAAAATATGGTCGAGTTTTAAAAAAAAGTTATTTCTATAGGTTTGAATACTGATCCTGATAACGTACTTAACGGGAACCACAGGGTTTTTTTACTTGTTGTATATATTCTCTACGTGGTGGAAAAGTAATTATCTATATAATAATATGCTATGCTGCAGCTATTACTGGTATAGTTGTAGCACGAGTGGGTCGGCTCGACCAGGAAAGACCAAGCTCTTACAGAATGCTGCTGTATTTCATATGGTGTGTGTAGAGAACCGGAGACCCTTTTTACTGGAAACGAGGCATTCCATTGTAGTCTTCACTGGTGACAACGCATCTGCATTTTGATTCGTGATCGAGAATGGATGTGGGTGTCTATGGGCCCCAGCAACCACTTACCGTCAGGTGGACTGTATGCTTGTTTGTCAGCTAATCCTATAACAAAATTAGGTACTTAGTTACTGACGCCATAGTTACAGATTTATTATTTGATTAGTAATCCGACCGATTTTTTTACGTATAATGTCAATTATCCATTAAAAATCGTTCAGTGTAAATAGACCATCCAGTACTAGTGACATCCTACTTATGCAAAATCAGCATATACTGTTTTTAGAACAATAGATAATAATACATACGAGTATAATTAGTTAAACACTACATGGTTGATAAAAGAAAGAGATTGAAAATAGAAGCACTTCTCATTGCCACTCTTTCATTAATAATGATGTCGCATGTCACATGTTTGTAAATAGCAAAAAATGTGAAACAGACAAGTGACGGCTTCGTGGCGCAGTGGCTTAGCAATGAGTTGCCGCGCTGAGGGCCGCGGGTTCAAATCCCGAACGGAACAATTATTTGTATGACCTACAAATAATTATTCTGGGTCTGGATGTTTGTCCTTGTAAAATCTATGTATGTAAACTGCCCCTGCGATACAGCAGAAAGTATTAGTGTGGAGGTAACGTTTTTTAAAAAGAGAGGAAGAGAGAAGAGTGATGAAATTAAAACTTTTGTACAACAGACTTCAGTATACGCATTATAGTACGCATTATTAAAGTTTGATTAAGATTTGACGTAAATGTTACTTAAAACACTGTTTATGCACAAAATGTTTATTGTTATAATGTTTACAAATGTTAGGTATATTAGCACACGGTACCTTCTTGGCGTCGGTGCATGTACTAGCTCAAATAAAAACTGTAAAGTAAAATACCGACGCTTACATAAAGTGTTCGGTGCAAACTGAACAATAACTCCAAAACTACTGGTCATCAAATTTGTATGGGATATATAAATTATAAGCCTGTTGCTTTAAAATAAAAAAGAATAATCAAAATTGGTGCCTCTAGAAAAAAGTTCTGAGGTAACACACTTTAAAAAAATACAGGCGAATTGAATACCTCCTCCTTTCTATGAAGTCGGATAAAAATGGTAAGTAGTAAAAAGGTAACATTCACGACGTTATAATCTTAATTTTTCTCAATGTTGCATATATTAACCTTCCTCATATTACATTATATTACACCTCGGTGTATTCTACTAACAACTAATATCAAAGGATACAATTTGTTTTCTTACAACACCTAACCCTGCAGTAGGTGCGGCCTTAACAAAGGCGCGTGACGGACTGAGTGCTACGAACTCTCACACGCGGGCGTAAGGTGCATTTTGAAATTACGCGCGGCATAATTTTTTTTTCGACGATTTAATCAGTAGGCTAATTTAACGAAGGTCGTATCTGATGCGTGTAAAGTATTATGAACATTAGCGACGTTGTACAGAGAGTAATCCTTCTGTTCTTGTACTATTATTTATTCTCTTTCCTCTCCCTCTGAGGCCCCACCACCGCCGCATAAGTCACGAAGGATTGGCTGAGTGGCGCATCGTCATACCTCATCACCTCGGCTGTAGCAATAGGGGGAGAAGACAACCCTCTCACCACAGCCCACGAACACACATCCGTTAATTTAATTTAAATCAATTTTTATTACTCATCAAAGTACTCGTTTCCACTAATAGTTTACATGCGCAGATATTTAATACACAAAATGGCACCACATTTTAAAATGGCTTTAAAATGGGGAGGTTCCCACTTCAATTGTATTTTGGCCACCCCTCTCAAAAACCAACTCTAACCAACTCTTACCCGTTTTCTTAACCAACTCTTTTATATTTTCGCACACACCGCACACCACAACCTCGAAAGTCCATTTTTCGGATTCCGTACCCAAAGTGTGATCAACGGGACCCTATTACTAAGCCTCCGCTGTCCGTCCGTCCGTCCACCTGTCTGTCTGTCAGCAGGATGTATCAAGAGGATCGGACAATTTTCACAGAATGTGTATTCCTGTTGTCGCTATAAACACAAATAATAAAAATTTAAATATATTAAAAAATAAAAGGGGCTCCCCTACTAGAAACGTGTATTACGAACCCTTCATGCGCAAGTCCGACTCGCACTTGGCCGGTTATTAAATTTGATGGAAAAGCTCCATCCTTAAAGTTGGAAAAAAGGGGATGAAAATATTAATATATTATTTTTAAATTTATCATCTCAACACATTCCCTAAAATTTAATGTAATAAAACAAAATAGATTTATTAATAACTTAAAAAAATATTATAAACTCCCGAAACAAATATCTTCAAACGGCTGCACAGATTTTCTTGAAACATAACCAAGAACACTCGATTAAGATACCTTTCAGACGGAAAAATTAACAATCACAATTGGTTCATCCGTTGAGGAGCCATGATGCACACAGATAGACAGATATTATACAGATACACAGATATACACTCCAAACTTATAACACCCCTCTGTTTTCGTCGGGGGTTAAAAATAGTGGTGTAAATTCTCTAAATACTGGAAAAAACAAATACAAAATAGTAATACTAATTACTCGTCCTTAAGGTAAATATTCAGTAATTCCATGGGGGCAATGCATACGCTTTTTAGCCGACTTCAAGCAAAGG